GAGAACTGGATGCTAGAACAAGTTCTCCTATCATCTGAGTATGTAACTTTGGGCAAATGCATTCCCTTGTTCAACTTCTCTTACCTGATTATTGAAGTAATCAGTTCCCCTTGACATGCATCTGTGTAATCTACCCTATGGCAGGCAATATGCCAGGGTACAGGATATGGCCCTCTGCCTTCTGGTAGAAGTGGAAGGACACAGACCCAAATAACTAACACAAGGCAAAGTAAAGTGAGTGTTATGAGGGACGCACAGTGCTATGGGAGCATAGAAGAAGTAGTGATTAAAAGGGAAAGGAGAATTAGGGACCTACAATACCTTTGTGAAGCAAAAAGGCTTCTTTTGGACTTATGAAAAATTGTGATGCATCAAAAAACCATCCCAGAGAGAAGTGAGTACTGCAAGGAGTTAAGACTGGAGTTAAGACTATGTGGGACATATTTAGGGATGAGTGAGCAGTTCTGTGAGCTAGAGAGAAAGATGCTGGAGCAAAGAGAAGTTGGGACATAGCTGGTGGGTTCTAAAGAGGAAAGGTTTCCATCTGCTGATCCAAAGGGTTTGAGCCAAGTTCAGGAAAAGGGATGGCAGCACCATGCATTTCTTTTTTTTTTATTTATTTATTTTTATTTATTTATTTTTTTTCCTTTTTGTCTTTTTCCGTGTCCGGCAACGGATCGCAACCCTCAGTGTCGCCCCCGTACCGGACTGGGACCGGCAACGGGATCGCAACCCTCGGCGTTGCTCCCGCGCCTCGCTCAGCCAGTGAGCGGGAACCGGCCTGTATGTGGGATCCGAACCCTCGGCGGGAGCGCCACCGCGCTTCCCAAGCGGCACACTATAGCAGTGCACCACCGGGCCGGCCCCCCCATGCATTTCTTTATTCATTTGTTTACTTACACATTTATTTGCTTGTTCATTCAACAAACATTTGTTATTTACTATGTGACAAGTGCTAATCCAGGTGCTGATGAGAGAAAAATGAATATGACACAGTTTCTGTCCTCAAGGAAATCACAGTCTGGTGGAGGAGACAAGTAACAATGGGACATAATATGGATAACAGTTGCCACCTGCTTCAAGAACAGAATTAAGCTAGTGATTGATAATGCTTAGAGGTAGATGTAAGAGACAGCTTTTAAAATTGTGCCAGTGGAGCTCAGTTTGAAGGATAAAAGAGTAGGAGCTTGACAGTTTGGAGTAAGAAGCCTGAAATGGAACTCCCAGTCATCAAGGTGCAGGTTTACCTTAGAGGGAGCCTGGCCTAGGCACCTGTTTCCCTTCCTCTTTCTAAGCTTCTGGGCCTTGTTTTCTACCACCATCTGGTGGCCACATCTATGAATAACAAGCTCCCCCTGACCCGAGAGAGCAGAAGTTTCACTGATGGGCCTTAGAGGGTTATGACCCCCCAGAAATAGCATGTAAGTTTTTATGTATATGAGATTTGCCTTTTCTTATGAGAAGCTCCAAGAGATTTTTTATCAGATTCTTAAACACTCCAGGGCTTCCAAAAGGCTGAAAATCACTGCTATAAAGGATTATTAGTTTTTTCCCTCAAAATCCTATGAGGAATCATAATGTATTTTATTTATTGTTTAAAAAATTCCTGAAGAAAATTGATAAACCCATCAGTCTTTTTTTATTGAAGAACAATTGACTATACATATTTTGGGGGTCCAGTGTTGACTATCATTTGTGTACAATATGTGATGATCAAATCATTATTATTAGCATACTTGTTATTAAAAATTGTTATTATTCTTTGTGCTCCTTACTCAATTTCTCCCTAACCCACCTCTCCCTCTCCCTCCTCTCCCTCTCCCTTTCTCACCTCTAGTAACCATAGATTTGTTCTCTCATCCTGAAAGTTCAACATGTTATCATGCACTCACTCACTACCCCCACATCTCCCCCCCCGCCCCCTCTTCCTTCTTTCCCTCCTTCCTTCCACTTATGAGTGAGGACATGTGGTATTTCTCTTTCTGTGTCTGGCTTATTTCACTCAACACAATTTTCTCCAATGTCATCCATGTTGCTATGAATGGTGGAATTTCATTCTTTTTTATGGCTGAGTAGTATTCCATTGTGTGTATATACCACATTTTCCTTATTCAGTTGTCTGTCGATGGGCATTTAGGTTGGTTCCATAACTTGGCTATTATAAATAGAGCTTCAATGAACATGGGATTGCAGGTATCCCTTCGACATGATTTCCATTCCTTTGGGTATACACAGAAGTAGGATTGTAGTTCTGTCTGTAGTTGTTTGAGAAACCTCCATACTGTTTTCCATAATGGCTGTACTATTTTACAGTCCCACCAACAGTGTGGAAGAGTTCTTCTGTCTCCACACCCTCAGCAGCATTCGTCATTCTCAGTCTTTTTAATAATGGCTCATCTAACTGGGGTGAGATGATATCTCAGTGTGATTTTGATTTGCATTTCCCTGATGATTAGTGATGTTGAGCATTTTTTCATGTACCTGTTGGCCATTTGTATGTCTTCCTTTGAAAAATGTCTATTCAGCTCCTTTGCCCATTTTTTAGTTGGATTCTTTGGTTTTTTTTACTGTGAAGTTGTTTGAGTTACTTGCATATTCTGGATATTAATCCCTTGCTGGATATATAGTTTGCAAATATTTTCTCCCATTCTGTAGGTTGCCTTTCTGCTCTGCTGATTGTTTCCTTTGCTGTGCAGAAGCTTTTTAGTTTGGTATAATCCCATTTGTTTTTCCTTTTGTTGCTTGTGCTTTTGGGGTCTTACTCATAAAGTCTTCACCCTCCTACTTCTTGGAGTGTTTCCCATATGTTCTCTTTTAGTAGTTTTATACTTTTGGGTCTTATACTTAAATCTTTAATCCATTTTGAGTTGATTTAGGTATATGGCTAGAGGTATTGGTTTAGTTTTATTCTTCTGCCTATGGATGTCCAGTTTTTCCAACAACATTTATTGAAGAGGCAGTCTTTTCCCCGATGTATGTTCTTGTTACCTTTGTCAAATATCAGTTGGCTATAAGTATGTGAGTTGATTTCCAGCTTCTCTATTCTATTCCATTGGTCCAAGTGTCTTTTTATGCTAGTACCATGCTGTTTTGGTTACTATAGCTTTGTGGTATAATTTGAAGTTGGGTAGTGTTATGCATCCAGCTTTATTTATTTATTTTTTGCTCAGGATTGCTTTGGCTATTCATGGTCTTTCGCTGTTCCGTATGAATGTTAGGATTGTTTTTTCTATTTCTGTGAAAAGCATCATTGGTATTTTGATAGGGATTGCATTGAGTCTGTAGATAGCTCTGGGTAGTATGGACACAACGTTAATTCTTCTAATCTAAGAGCATGGAATGTCTTTTCACACTTTTGTGTTTTTTAAAATTTCTTTCAGTAGTGTTTTATAGTTTCATTGTAGAGATCTTTCACCTTCTTGGTTAAATTGATTCCTAGGTATTTTATTTTTTGGTGACAATTATAAATGGGCTTGCTTTCTTGATTTCATTTTCTACTAGTTCGTTATTGGAGTATAAAAACGCTACTGATCCTTGCATGTTGATTTTGTATCCTGCAACATTATTGAAATTGTTTATCAGCTCTAAGAGCTTTTTGGTAAGAGTCTTTAGATTTTTCTACATATAGGATCATGTTATCTGCAAACAGGGACAGTTTGACTTCATCTTTTCCAATCTGGATGCCCTTTATTTCTTTCTCTTGATTGATTGCCCTGGCTAGTATTTCCAATACTATATTAAATGGGAGTGGTAAGAATGGGCATCCTTGTCTTGTTCCTGTGAAGAATCATAATATATTTTTTAAAGATAGAAAAGCAGACCTGGATCCCTACTTGCTCAGAAACTCACCTTCCAATTTCCCAAAGCACCTACACAGAACAAAGAATCCAATTTGCAGACCACTCTTGTAAAGCCAAAGACTTAAGGAGCTTCAGAGCCAGATGGATCCTTAGAAATCACTGAAATCCATTGGATCACGCTTGGGAGACGGGGAACCGGTGAAGCTTACAGAGCATATCAGTAGTAGTAGTGGAACCTAACACAAAGCTGCTTCTTTTACTGCTCCTCTCTTTTAACTGCTTATGTTATTTCCCAAAACCTAAAATTAAAAAAAAAAAAAAAAAAATCAAGAGGCTGGCTGGTTAGCTCAGTTGGTTAGAGCACACCTTATAACACCAAGCTCACAAGTTCAGGTCCCCTTACCGGCCAGCCAACAAAATAAAGATAAATAAAATAATTCTTTTAAAAAAGCAAACCCTTTTCTATCCTGACTATAGTTCCCAAACAGGAAACTATTTTCCCTATAGATTTTTAGATTCTTGGAAAGATATTTTCCCCCTCTAGATGCCTCCCAACAAATCATAGTACATGGTAAAAAATAAATCCACATCTTATGTTTGAATAATTCTTTATAACTTAACAACATCCAGACCCATGAGCTGTTTTATTTTACAGTGGGAAAACTGAGACTCAGAGATAAAATGACTCACTTGCTTTTGTCTGACACCAACTTAAGTGTTCTTTCCACTATCTCACAGGCTTTGTATTCAAATGTGTATATTCTGTGCTACTTAAAACAATAAACAAGTGGGCAGTACAACCGGCTTGTTGATATCTATTTGGGGTGGGGGATGCTAAGACCGACCCCTGCTAATCACAGCTATTGCAGAAGGAGTCAGGGTCGGGCGGGTAAAGGCTAACATTGATTGAACATCTATATACTAGTTATATGAGAGTCTGATTTCTAAAAAACTTTCAAAGTTTGTTTTTAATCACCATTTTGCAGATGTAAAAACTGAAGTTCAGAAAGTGGCTTGTTCAAGGTCACATAGCTAGTAAATGGCAGATCATAGATAAACTTCAAGTCTGCTAGACTCCTCGGCCTGTGTGTTTTCCACACCAGCTGGCTTCATGGGGCTTTGAACATCCCAGCTTGCCTTCCTGAGGGCAGTCATGGCCTCCTCTCACCCCCCACCCCTTCCCTTCTTTCTCTTTTTCAGGAGTGCCAGCTTCTCTCAGGGCACCAGGGCCTCATTTCTCATGAGGAGTGACACAGCTGTACAAAAACTTGCCCAGGGCAATGGACATTGTGTCAATGGGGTCAGTGGTCAAGTCCATGGCTTCTATAGCCTTCCCAAGCCAAGCCGGCACAATACAGAATTCAGAGACAGTACCTACGACCTCCCCCGGAGCTTGGCCTCCCATGGCCACACCAAGGGCAGCCTTACAGGCTCTGAGACAGATAATGAGGATGTGTATACCTTCAAGACGCCCAGCAACACCCTGTGCCGGGAGTTTGGGGACCTCATGGTAGACAATATGGACGTTCCAGCCACCCCACTGTCAGCATACCAGATCCCTAGGACATTCACGCTGGACAAGAACCACAATGCCATGGCAGTGGCCACTCCTGGGGACTCAGCCATAGCTCCCCCACCCCGGCCCCCTAAGCCAAGTCAGGCAGAAACACCTCGATGGGGCAGCCCTCAGCAGAGACCTCCAATCAGTGAAAATAGATCAGTCTCTATTGCTGCCACCATCCCCAGGCGCAATACCCTTCCTGCAATGGACAACAGCCGACTTCACCGAGGTTAGTATAAGCCCTAACTGAGATTCAGAGGGAGAGGGAGGTACCACGGGAGTTCTCAGTGGTTTTCTAAAAGTCCTTGGTCATCCATGGCCAAGGGAGACAGGAACCACCCAGGTCACTGATACAAGTTTAGGCATCTTCTACCCAGACCCCCTACCAGGTGGTCCTCCAGAACTGGAGGCTATTCCTAGACACCCACAATGGCAAGAGAGTAGCAGACCCTGCCTTGGAGAAGTTAATATTCTACTAAGGTAGATAGAACATTCTCAGTAAACCGTAATTCAACATATTATGTTATGGGTTCGGTTTAGCCAAACCTATGTGGACTAACAGACTATTAAAACAAAATGATATCTTCAGAATATTTTCAAAGCCACACTTGAATCTCTCTGAAGTCTGAATTTCTATTTGAAGTATCTAATTTCTATTATCGTTTGTTTTTCACTGAGAGTATTCCAACTCTGAATATAACCTCCTCTGATGTAAAAATAGAACAATATTTTCATTTTACATTTTGCTTTATAGCTTGCAAAGCTTTTTCTTATCCATTCTGTTGTTAAAGCCATGCAGGGAGTTTGGTGGGACAAAGCCTCATTGTCTCCATTTCACATGCTAGTTAAGAGATTTACTCAGGGTTGTGGTCATCAGTGGCAGAGATGAGAGTCAGATCCTGGTTTAGAACTCTTTTCACTCTTTTAGTTCATCAACAATCTGAGCAATCACCCTGTATTTTGGAACTGAGATGATAGAGACATATATAAGACACATCCCTACCCTTCAGATCTCACATCTATTAGGGGAAATAAAAGTAACCTGTATAAATTAGTACAAGTATTATTACTATAGTATTCATAGAGGTCATAGTGGGGGTGAATGGGACAGGTGGTAAGTGCTATAGGAGCTAAAGGAGAGGTGCATAAATGGGAGAAGTCAAGGAGGGACTCTCTGCCAATGCTAACACTGGAGCTGGATCAAGAAGCCCAGGAGGAATTTTTGAACTGAGGAGTGACATGTTAGAAGTAATACACATACCTTACCATTTGGGGTTGAGAGTAGTATCTTCTGGAGTATCAGTAAAACCCTGAGCAACACTGGTGAGGGTATGGGGAAATGTCAACACAAGGGTCAGCTGTGAGTACATATGGATTTCCCTTCTTCTGCCATAGCTTCTTCCTGTGAGACCTACGAGTACCCCCAGCGTGGGGGGGAGAGTGCAGGCCGGTCAGCTGAGTCCGTGAGTGATGGAAGCAGTTCTTTCCTGGTGAGTGGGTTTAACTAGAGGTCCTTATGCAGCCTTGGGTAGGTAAAAGATCACACCCCCTGGAACTAAAAGCACAGCCCCAAAAGAGTGATGGCATCTCCCTCTTAGGACTCTGCCTAGGTTCTTGTCTCAGTTCTGAACCTTGGGTTGAGTTTTTGGACAACTAAAATACAGGTATCCTAGTCTGGAAGAAATGCGTGTACTTAGGTGGACTGGATGACAAAGTTCACCAATCCTTGTAGGTAAGCAGAGAGGGTCCAGAATGCAGGAGACCCAGGCTCTGGGTTGTGGATCTTCTAAAGCAGCAATCCTACCCATCAGGTCTCACCTGGAGGAGGGAGGCTGTGATGAGACACTCCAGGCAGGAGGGTGCTCAAAGTCGGGCTGGGTGGCAGAAGTATGACTTGCATGCTGGATCCCAGGCTGCCCTCTGGAAGGAGCTGACACAGTTTTCCAAGGTGTCAGGCAAGCAGACCAGGGCCTGACTGAGGGTGCACTGACAAAACAGTGAAAATTAAGTAACCAAGGCAGAAGCAGCTTAGTTGTATGTCCGGGCAGACAGGGCAGGAGGTAGAAGAAGGCTGTCGCCAGAGTTGTGGTGTTGCACAAGTCTGTGGCAGCTGTGGCTGCAGCATGGTGGTCACCCACGTACCTGGAGTCAGCCCTAGGCACACTAAAAGCTGAACTGGGGAAGTACGGCTGGCCCCAGACCTCACCTTCCAGGGCCGAGACTCTTAATAGGCTCCTTGCCCTGATCAGGGCCTCAGATGCTGCCCTACAAACACTGAGTGGATTTGAGGTAGAGGGCAGGTCCTGAACCAACACAAACCTACACAGTCCATGGCCTGTGCTACCCTCTGCCTTGTTCAGGTTTCCAGAAACCTGAGTGGACCCAGCCAGCAAGGATTTCTTATACTGTAGATTTATCACAAATTATAGGTGGATCCCAAGGGGCCATGAAAGCCAGAAAGGACTTCCAGACCTCATTTCTTCCTGCCTCCCACTCTGCTTTCATACTTGGTCTTCCCGAGGTCTTCATTGTAGCTTCAAAGTATAGCTAACCCAGACATGACTTTTCTTGCCTTGATATAAATTCTCACCCCCTTTTTTCTTCTTGCTGGTGACAGCTATATTTCTTTCATTCTCTCTAGCCAGGGAAAACAGTTGTGAGCCGATCGGATAGCACCAATTCTGAAGACAACTATGTGCCCATGAATCCAGGTTCCTCCAGCCTGCTGGCTATGGAACGAGCAGGTGATAATTCCCAAAGTGTCTACATCCCCATGAGCCCAGGGCCCCATCACTTTGACTCGCTTGGCTACCCATCCACAGCCCTTCCTGTGCACCGAGGCCCCAGCCGAGGAAGTGAGATCCAGCCACCCCCTGTTAACCGCAACCTCAAACCTGACCGGAAAGGTAAGTCCACTCTTTCCCCTGGACAATAGCTGGGGACTATTTGCATTTGCTTAGGGATCCAGGTGGACTTGTGGTGTGTTACTTTGGTCAAATCATTTAAATTTTCTGAGCCTTGGTTTTCTTATCTGTGAAATGGGGATAGTAATTCCTGCCTCCTGGGTTTATTTAGAAGAAATGACTCTCATACATAACAGGTGTTCAGTAAAGTTAGATCTGTGCCCCCTGCAGTGTAGACCAGGAAGAAGTGCTGGAGTTCTAGTTCCAAGTCTGACACTACCACACTCTGCTGGCCTGAGATCAGCAACAGTGATACAAAGGGAGGAGGAGGATGACTGGGCAGAGAGAGGCCCCTGTGGGTCTGGCCAGCAGAGAATCCAAGTCCTGGCATGTAGAACTGAACCCTTCAGGGCCTTGTGCCATTTACCTTCCTCCACTGGGCTGCATAGTCCTGTCTAGGAGCAACAGGGAGTAGTCATGGTGACTCTCACCATTTCAAATACGGTCTCTTGTTTTTATATCAAGTCATAAATCTGAGGAGAAAAATGTGTTGTCAGACCACATGTCCCCATTTTGGATTCTGAAAATACAATTACCGTAGATACAGTGGAAAGAATATATAATTTAGAATCTGAAGACATGACTTCAAGGCCTATCAACGTGGGCAATTACATAACCTTCCTGAGCCTCAGTTTCCCTATGTAAAACTGGAATGACTGTGAAGACCTTTATAAATATGCATGTGTGTTATATGTAAGTGTATGTGTGGTGGTGGTATTGCTTTCTGATTACTGACTTTCTATTCCTGCTCCAGCAAAGCCAACACCACTTGACCTGAGAAACAACACCGTCATCGATGAGCTCCCCTTCAAATCACCTATCACCAAGTCTTGGTCTAGGGCCAAGTGAGTATTTTTGGAACCAGGAGCTTGGAGTTGGGCTGTTAGGGTAGACGAATGAAATGGTAGCTGGCCTTCCGTGGAATGGTCAGGACAGGTGGATTTTGATGTTCATGCTGTCATTAGCTGATCATGTCTCTTGATCTCTTGGGGCTTGGTTTCCTCATCTGTAAAGGGGAGAAATTATACATACCAGCACTGTGTCAGATCTTAATCTGATAATGGAAGGTGAAGCTCAGATGGCCAATGTCTGGGTCTGTGAGGGTCAGGGCCCAGCTAGAGGTTAGAAAGACAACAGCAGCCATGTGGCTTCCCCAGGGTTAACTTTGTTTTCTTCCCACAACAGCCACACCTTCAATTCCAGCTCCTCCCAGTACTGCCGCCCCATCTCCACGCAGAGCATCACGAGCACGGACTCAGGAGACAGCGAAGAAAACTACGTCTCCATGGTAAGTCTTTTGGAGTTCACTGGAATAACTCCTATCAGAGTCCCTGGGATCCACCTCTTAGTTCCCCACTTCCCAGCTTAGCTAACTCACCTCAGCCCAGAGATTCCTTTCATTATTTGTATTTAGTCTCCTGCTACAAATCTCTCTTGAGCACATGTGTATCAAGCAGTGAAAGTTATCTTTAGATATAAGGAAGATATAGTACTGCCCCCACGTAAGTCTCAGTCTTAAAGAACAGAGGTGGCCAGCCTCTCTCTCATGACTGTGACACAGGCAGCACAATCCATGCCCTTGGAAAAGCAGTGCTGGAGGTGTCGTCTCAGCAGTGGGGAGACACACGTGTACATAACTCACTGTGGTGAAGCCATAATAGAGGTATAAACACAGGCAGAGCATAAGTTTTCTGTCTGAGATTTTAATTGGAAAGGGCATAGCTGCTCAGTACCTGATAGTTGCTGCATAGATATTGAAAGAACAAATGAACCAATAACTAGTCAAGCAGCCAAAAATGAAAACATAGGACTGTCACATTTTTCATTAGAATAAGACTTCAGGAAAGCCCTAGACAAGGTGGTACCCTTCTAGAGCAGGAGCCTGGATGGAGACAGAATCTGAGAGCATGCACTGGAAGAACTGCCGAAGGAACAGAGGTTCTGTGCAGCCTGGAGGCAGGTGACTCTGCTCACATCTTGAGGAGCTGGATGAAGGAGCAAGCTGCTGTACTGTGACTTCCCCACTCTAGGCCAGGGTGGGAGTTTCAGAGCAGCCAATTTAGTGCAACAGAAAAAACCTTCCACCATCCAGTACAAAAAGAAAATGTGCTGCCTTCCCTGGGGCCTCTCAGGAGAGAGTGTAGATGAGATCTGGCCTGCTGCCCTGTAGGGGAAGCAACATTGTGTGTGGATTAGCACGGGTTTGGGAGTCAGAAAACAGACCTGGTTCCCGTCACTCCCCAGCTGTGCAGCCATGGGCAAATCACTTAACTTCTCTGAACCATAGTTTTATCTTTGTCTTAAACAACATGAACAGCAATAGTGAATTAGTAGCTCTTATTTCCAGAGGTTTGTTTTAGTGGGTGGTGAGTTAGTCTGTTTCCTAAACTCACTAACAATTTTTTCCTCCTTGTGATAGCAAAACCCGGTGTCTGCATCTCCCATTCCCAGTGGCACCAACAGTCCAGCACCTAAGAAGAGCACTGGCAGCGTCGATTATCTGGCCCTGGACTTCCAGCCAAGCTCCCCAAGTCCCCACCGCAAGGTATCTGGATTGGAGGTGGGGGGTCAGAGCTCTCTGAGCCCCAGGGGAGAGAGTATGGAGGCCAGGTGCCTCCAGCACTGAAGAGCAGCACTCAGCTTCCCTCCCTCTCCAGTACCTGGCATTTATGACTTGACTGTGCTTTACTCTGGGTCTTAGAGGCTCCTGTTCCTCCTTTCTCAGAGCACAGATACCCTTGGTCCCTAGAACCTCATCAGTCAAACCATCCCCTTGGTGTAGAGATAAGCAAACGAATGCACATAGAGAGGCCTGATCTGCTCAGGGTTACAGAGTGAATGAGTGACAGATCTAAGACCCAGGGATCCTGCCTTCTTGTCCTGAGCTCTTCTGTCTGGATGTGTCCCAGAGCCCTGCCATTGATACAGTGGCCTTTGGAAGGCACTTCGGGCCTAGGAACATCTGCCTAGGAAGCACACTTAGCCAGCTCATCTAGGCAGCAGGGTGGGGAGCTCCACCTCAGCATAGTCCCTCTCACAGGGTAGATGTGAGGGTCACCAAGGGGACACACATAAAGATCTGTGGCTTTATTGGTCCCCAGCAAATTCCTTCCCCTGGATAAATGGCCAGAGGGAGGTGGGCAGAGGCAGAGGTGAAGGCTTGGACCATCCACCAGGCCAAGAAGAGCCTGGGTCCTCCTAGGAGCTGGGAAATAAGAAGGGCTGGCAGGGCTGTTGCATCCAACAGGAGAGATCATTGTAGTTCAGGCTATACAGCCCACACTCAGAAAAAGAAGACAGGCTCCTGAAGCCGGTCAAAGTGTCAGGCAAAGGCCCCTCTCCTCTCCCCATGAGACAACTCAGGAAGAGCCCATACTCCTCTTCCTCCTCCCCACCTTCCTGGTAACTCACAGCCATTCCTGCTTTCCCACTCTGTCCCCTTAGCCATCCACATCATCTGTCACTTCCGACGAGAAGGTAGACTATGTTCAGGTGGACAAGGAGAAGACCCAGGCCCTGCAGAACACCATGCAGGAGTGGACAGACGTGCGGCAGTCCTCGGAGCCTTCCAAGGGCGCCAAGCTGTGACAAGAGGGCCTCCAGGCCCAGGGAGGGGCCAGGTCTCCAGAGCTGGCTCCCCATCCCTCCTCTTCCTTGCCCCCCTCCCACCTCCTCTCCCCTCTGCCACTATTGGCCTTCAAAGCACTTGACATCAGGGACCCTGAACCCTTCCCCTGATCGAGGCACTTCCTCTGCCCACTCGGGGCCCACCTGCGATTTTTATCAGTAATGGCCATTCCTCAATCACCCTAGTTAGGAGCTATTGCCAAAAAGCATCCTTCAGCCTCTTCCTGTCCTGTAGACCTGACTGTCTACCAGATGGTTGGAGGGAGGGTTTGGGGCTCTGAGCCAGACTCTACACCTCACATTTGGTCCTAGCCCTCAGCCCTCTTCCCTCTGGCCACTGGGCTACCTCTCTTTCAGTCCCAGAATAAGACAAGTCGTCTTGCTGACCCAGAGAGCCAAGGACCAGCAGACCAAAGTGGACATGGACTTTTTCATCCCTGTTTTTCTTGGCAGTCAAGAAGCAATGCCACCAAAAGATGAAACAGTCGAGAAGGAAGATCAGAGGTGGTCTTGAGGGGCAAAGGAAACGGATTCCCAGTGTAGAAGTGCAATCAGCACCTGCAAGGGTCCCCTACTTTCAGGCCAAGGCCATGGCAGGGCAGCTACTGTGGAGTAGGAGAGGCAGAAGGACGAGGACAAGAAGAAGGGAAAGCTGATGATGATGGGCACTCAGAACAAGAAGGAACAGTGCTTGGAGCTCAGGAGATTAGGGTGACAAGGACACTTGGGGTCAGGGTCCCAGAACTCTGGAGCTACAGGATCATTCTGCCACTCTCTGATGAGGTCACTCGGGGACAGAGGATAGTCCTCTTCCCCAACACCATCGGAGGGGCCCACACCATGCTGGAGAAGCTTGGATGTGCCGTGGGAGTGCCAGCACAGGGGGTGGGGATGGGAGGGAGGGAGCATGGTGTGGGTGGAGGTGATACAGGGACTGACAGAGACCCTGGGACAGTAACAGGCTGGGCAGAGGCCACAGTGGGGATGGTGCAGCAAGTGAGTTTCTGTGAGGTGGGCATGTAGCAGCGGAGGGCACAGAGGTAACCTAGTGCAGTGCCCACAGCCGTGCAGGGGACACAGGATGGAGCAGAACATGAAGGGTGGGAGAAGCCATGTGCCTGGCATGTGACAGGAGGCCATCCCCAGGATGAAAGGAGGGCAGGTAACGCAGAATCAGGGAGAAAGTGGAGCAGAGTCAAGCCTCGAGGGTGACATAGGGGTGTGGCTGGCAGCTTGTTTCAGGGCCCAGGGCAGGAACAAGACCGGTCCACGGTCTTTTCTCAGCTTATCTCACCCTCTGCTGCTCTCTAGCATTCCAGGTGCCATGTTGGACTCAAACTTGGCTGCAGGGACCTCAGATCAGCAGGGTAGGAGGTAGGGCATTGCCCAAGGCTCTTTCTCCTAAGCCTAGGGAGGGGGTATCTGAATTGTTTATGTTGAAGGTTCTTGACCAAATTTTCAAGAGTCTCAGAGGTCCCAGGGCAGATCAAATATTTCATCCTACCCTGGAGCGAAAAGACCTTCTTCCACCAAAAAAAAAAAAAAAAAAAGGACTTCCCACCATGTTTGATGCGGGTGGCTGCGACTCCCTTTCAGCTCCTGTGAGCATGCACACCTCACCAGACCAACGGTCTGGCCATTCCCTACAAACTCCCATCCTGGGAGGAGTTGTTTCCTCAACAGAAGCTCCTCTCCTCCTAGCATCAGTTCAAATCAACTCAAGGAGCATCTATTAATGGCTGCTGTGGCCAAGCCCTGGACTTGAGCACTGAGAACACAGGAATTAATCAGAACTTGTCCCTGAACTAGAGAAGGTCACATTAGGTGAGGAAAAGGACAAGGACACAAGACAGTGGTGACGGTCACAAGGGAGGATAAAATGCTGATGGGGTGCAGAGGAAGTAAAGACAACTTCTCAGGGAGGCTGGCGCCATAGGCAGGAGGTGGAGATCAGGGAAGGTGTTTCCTAGGAAGAGGTGCCTGAGGTAGGCCTCAGAGGAGGACAGGTCAGATTACAGGGAAGGAGGACAGGATGTGGGTCCAGTGGAAGGAGGAGGGAGATATTTAGAAAGCCTCGTGCTATGGAACAAAAGACTTTTGGGGGTGTCCAGCCACTCAGAAGTGCTGGGGCCATGCCTCAGTGTTCCCACAGGTGTAGTAGTAGTGGTGGCTGTGGCTGCACCCGTTTGCAGGGTGCTGGTTCACTATGCCCAGCCCTGTTTCTCTTTAAAGCCCTCTACAAGGGGTCTCTATGGCAGGCAGATGGACCTTTAGCCACTGCCAACCGTCTGCCCCCAGCAGACTACAAGTGGGCCCAGGTGTTGATGCTCTCCATTTCCAGCAGCCTCCCCTGTTGACCCCAGGGTGCCATAAACCTGTTAGCATGTTCTGAATGTCCCAGGATGTGAAAGAAACTGGATGGAGTCTTCAGAGACTGAGGTGTTCAACTCTAATCCCAAGGAGACTTCCTTACAACTCTTGGTTCCCGTGACTACCACAACCCTCAGGTGGAAGTGGGGGTAAAGAGGGAAGGAAGGACAAGAGAAAAGGATATCGGCCTGTTGAACGTAGAGCTCTCTGGTTCACAAACCCCAAACTACCAGCTGTGTCGAGCATGTACCCACCTCTCCCCACAAAGGGTAAAGTGAACTCAATTTAAAGAATTGGTCCATTGGCCTATCCGTGGGACAGAGTCCACCTCTCCTAGTGGCCTGGCAAGGACAGAGAGCCCAAAATGGGGATGCTTTTCAGCCAGCTTAACTCACACAGGACTTGTCCTGCCTGGGGCTCTCCAAAGGAGCCTTCTTCACCCACGTCCAGCTCCACCCTCTGCAAGGTTAAAGAAAAGCTAAATGAACAACGAGAAAAGAAAATGGTGTCTCCATAGGACCTTGGTTTGCTTGTCTGTGAAACGGGTGGTTGGATGAGATGGTCTCTGAGGTCCCTTCCATGGCTGAGGCTCATCTGCTTTAAGAGGGAACTCCCTGCCTTGTAAGTTCTCTCCAAGGCCTGGATTGGCATGGAGCAAAAGCACCCAGAGCATAAGCCAATTAACCCAGTCCTCTCCCCAGCTTGATTTTGGAGAATTGTACATTTGAAAACATTAAAATATGCCCTATTCCTAGGACAGAAGCACAACCATTCTGAAGTTATTGGCACATGGGCTCAACTCTCATCTGTCCTTTGGCCCCTTTACCTGGGGCTAGTCTCAGCCTGATCAACCCTACCCACACCCCTTTGCTAGAGCTCTGCAAGGGTGTAGGACCAGAGAGAAATTAGCACTTCTTCCGTCCAGGCCTTCATCTGTAAAATGTGGGGAAGAGGCTAACTTCCTGGGCTCTAAAGCCCCTCTGAAGAGGGCCATTTTTCTGGGGCTCACCAAGGTCTCTGTGGCCTGCCCACTGGAGATTCAGGCTGTCCTGTGATAGCTGGTGGTGTGTGTTCTTGTATTCGTTGGCTACTTGTGTCTTGAAATTTAGAATTGTTTCTCACAGAGTTGTTGCTATTTGTCAGGAAGAGAAAATGGGCTAGAAGAAGCCCAATCTTAAGTCATTGTCTTGTTACCATTTAAAATTGACATTTAATTTTTCAAATCATTGTTGGTGCCTAATCACTTAAGTTATTAATTTATTTTGTTTTCTTTAAAAAAAAAAAAGTTTGTAACATATTTATCCTGTGAGTAGGTCTGGGAGTGGGTGGGGGGAAACAGTGTTCAAGTGGGTCATGTTTTTGCTGTGGTGACACATGGTACAGGCCTGGAGCTTGCAGGTCCCTTTTTACTATGGTGTTGCAGCAGGACGACAATAAAGTCCATTAGAAATTCAACCAGAGAAGGCTGCTGGTGTCTGTTTTGTCTAAAGGGGCCGGGGCATGGAACTCACACACATTCTTGACAAGATAATCATTTCAGAATTGTTTCTGGAATGATCCCAGGAACGCTGGTGTGCCAGTCTGCACTATTTCACTTTAATAAGACATAATTGCTTATTTTTCTTGGCTGAGGGCAAAAATGAATCCTCCTGATCTCGGAATCTGTTGTTTTCCTAATCTGTAGAATGGAGATTGACTAGCATCTGCCAGTTCATCTTAGAAGGCACACTTACAGGAGAGTCTAGAGATGGATTCTGGGAGTGACTCGGTCTCTGAGACTGTGCCTACTGGCCCACTTTCACAAGTCCCTGAGGTTGGACATCTTCAGGGTCTGTAAAATCTCTAGCTGTTGGAGTGCCAGGCCCACCTGGTAGGTGAGTCCACACCTCTAGTTACACAACACTTCAGTACTGAGGGCTGTCACCTCTGTGCTGTGTTCTCACAAGTCCCTGAGGGCAGGCATGTACCTCTCTTTACCAACAAGGAGCCTGGGCCCAGTTACAGCAGACATCAAAGCCACTGGGGAAGAACGACATCTTTCAAAGGCTTCAGAGAACCTAGTTTTATTCCTGATTGAGAACATGGGTCTCTTCTCTCCACTTAGAAGGGGCTACAGCAGTGTCAGGGCACGATGCAGTCAACATCTGTGCTTCACCAGACCACCCGGCCCTCCAGCAGCTGCTCTTGCAGCAATAATGGCCAACTGATCAGAGCTGCTGAGCCAGCCAGCTTCCTCAGATCAGATAATGGCTTCATGAGAAACACACATCTCTGAAGTAAAATAAGGACTCTCTGCCTAAACCAGAAGGAGGTGCAAGTGGTGGCATCTCAGGCACTGAGGAAGGTGAGCGGGAAGGGAGACAGGTAAAAGGAGCTGGTACACATGGGGCAGGCATCCCTGCAAGGCCTCTGGAACCCCTCAGAGAAACAAGAGGTGACACACAGCCCCCTTCTCTGTGCAAGGGCCTGGATCCCGCTGTGCTTTTCATGCTACAGAGCAACAGTTGTCTGAAAGGAGAAGGAAGGGAAATGGCTGGCAACATACTAGAGCTGAAGTGCAGCCCTGTGTGCTGAACATAATCAGGTTCCAGCACAGGTAGCTGCTAGGGGGGTGAGTGGGGGTTGGGGTGGGCAAAGCCCAGAGTGTCCATCGAAGTTGCTTCCAGTTAACCAGGACACTTGGGTGTAAAATCTTAATGGGACTGATCCCAGTATGAGGGCCTGAGGCCCAGTTTAAGGGGCTTGGGTCTCACCTCCATATCTGAGTCTCTGTGTGCCCTTCAGGCAGAGGACCGATGTCCTAGAGGCTCCCTCTCCATCTTTCCTGCCCTTGGAAGGGCCTACATCAGGACTGGGCCTGCCTCCACAGCCTCTCAGACAGAGCAGCGTGGCCTGGGACCTGGGCTCCCAGAAGGACAGGGTCAAGGCCTCCCCTGAGGTTGGCTGTGGTGCCAACCTCCACACAGGTGGGAACAGGCCAGGTGAAGGTTCACATTAGAAGACCAGTCTGTGGAAGTCACCACCATTGCCACCTGCTGGGCTGCAGCCCCCTGGAGAGCCTTCGTCCTCATCCTTGTCTTCATCAAAACCCCTCCCCCAACGCGGAGATGCGGGGAGCGCAGAGATGTAGGCTGCCCTGCTCCGTGCCTCCTTCTCCTGCTCCTGGGAACAAAGATGAGGGCAGGGGAGGAAACTTAAAATGCAGACCCTGAGCCAAAGTCCTTCCCTCACTCCCTCCCCCAATGCCACCCAGCACAACACTTCTAAGTGGTTCCTCTGGTCCCCAGGGCCAGGATACACAGGAACCACAGCTTCTGTCCTTGAGGCAGTGCAGCTTAGTGGCAGGGTGGGTAGGGTGAACCCATCCTTCCACCCTACCATTTAGGCTTCAAAATCTCTCCTCCTCATCCCAATAAAAACTCCAGTCCCTTGGAAGAAAAGAACTCATTCATACTACACTGTGACTAGCTGACAAGGATTGTAGGGCACCAGGAAGCAGCAGGTCTGGGGACTTTGATGGTAATGCCACATCACACAGGAACATCTCCACCAGCTTCCTGAACTCGGCTGTCTAGCTCCCCACCTCTGCAGGCACAAGGAATGGAATCTGCCTTTGAGAAAGCTCTTCCTCCTGAAATGAGGTCAGCCTCACAGACTCCTAACCACTGACCCCGCCTCCACCTGGATAGCCTGGCAGGAATTTAACAACAGGCCCATTTGTGCCCACCCAAAATACCTACTCCAGGTGCCAGCATCCACAGGTCCTGCCATGGCTGTTCCAGGTATCTATGGCTAGTCCCCATCCCTCTAGTCAAAGCGCTTGATGTTCCAGTTGCTAAATATTTTTATTCCATCCTTGACTCTAAAGAGTCAGAGGCACAGTTAGGTAGGAGGTGCTACTCCTTCAGCACACTTACTTAATAAGTGCATGATTAATTATCTAGTGTCTGTTCCTCTAAAATGAGGGGTTATGTCTGTCTAGGCCACCAATATATTTCCAGCACTGAGCAGTTCCATCCACTGAGCACTGGATGGATGGATTAAAAAAAGGAAGAGACTTGAAGAGAGGAGCAATAACTTATTAAAGCCAGTGGTTGCACTGGGACCAGACTCCCTTCCACCCAGGAGATCAAAGATCCCGATGGTCTGCTCACCTGCAGGTAAAGGATGTTGTCTTTGGAAATGGCTTCCATCAAGTCCTTGTGGAGGGTGGGCTCCGCACGGACTCTGGGAGAGCCCAGTTCGGCCTCGGGCCCCTCCTCAGGACGCTGCCGGTAAAAGAGCACATAGGCTGTATCCTTGGGGAAGAAAGAGGTGACGTTGCTCACAGACTCGAAGGAGGAGAAGGATACCCGAGTGTCATTGAACAGGTACCACTGGTTCTCGGGCTCTGGTCTATCGGCAGTTCCCAGAGAAGGGGCTGGGCGGGCAGCACCCTCTCGAGCATAGCAGTAGTAGTGACCACTCTCCGAGGACACTCCAGAGTGCACCACGACGCTGCAGAGATCATAGGCCTGGCCCTGGCCACCAGCCAGTGGCAGGGGGGGCAGCAGGGGTATGGCGACATCGTCCAGGATCTTGCGGCGCCGCATGGTGCGCAGGTCGAAGGAGAAGCGCAGCAGCGTCAGGATGAGGTAGCGCGGCCCCTGGCTCAGCTCCACTGCCTTCTCGGCATCCTGCAGGGAGGCACACGACTCGCAGTAGTAGCGGTTCTCTGCTGTCAGCCTTGGCGACATCGTCCAGGATCTTGCGGCGCCGCATGGTGCGCAGGTCGAAGGAGAAGCGCAGCAGCGTCAGGATGAGGTAGCGCGGCCCCTGGCTCAGCTCCACTGCCTTCTCGGCATCCTGCAGGGAGGCACACGACTCGCAGTAGTAGCGGTTCTCTGCTGTCAGCCTCTCAGGGCACAGGAAGTAGTTGACCAGGTCCAAGACAGAACGGGAGCCCTCTGGGCCACACAGCTGCTCTGCAGAGCGGGCGGCAGCATCCCTGTGGGTCCCTGGTTCTGGGCTGTCCTCGTCATTCTCTTCCTTGTTCTCAGCTTCCTTCTTCTCCTCCTCCACCTCTTTCTCCTTCTCTCCCTCCTTCTCCCTGGTCTTTTCTTTCTCCTCCTCCTCTCCTACTTCCAATCCCTCCTTCTCTCCTCCCGCTTCCTTCCTCTCCTCCTTCCTCTCCACCTTGTCCTCCTGAGTGCTCTGCCCCCCAGCTCCCTGGGAGTCCAGGCCTTCAATGTCCAGGATGGTGGGGGGTGCATCCCCTGTGATGCAGAGTTTCCTTTGCCTCCGAGGACCCACCCTGCTTGGGACCTGGGCTCGGGATGTTGGGGGGAGCTCCTGGGCTCTGATGTCCTCTGCAGGGAGCATCACGGAGCCCAGGCGGCGGCGGCGTTCAGGAGGAGGAAAGGCAAGAGAGAGGTCTGTGAAGGCCTCCTCCCGGGAGGAGACATTGAAGCAGCGGAGACAGCATATCCGAGTAATGATCCTGCCTCCGAACATTTTCTCCACAGCGGTTAAACTTGGGCTAGGGGGTTCCTCAGGCGGGGAGGGTGAGCTGGACTGCTTGAGCTTTTGGCAGATCCTTGTCCCTGTTTTCTCCTCTTCATGCAGCCTGAAGCAGAGAGCACAGGGTCTGTGTATTCACAAATGGGTCCGCTCACCTTGTTCATGCCCACCTACCTTCCTCAGCAGACACAGGCACACAGGAGTCTGCACAGGGAATACACATACACGCACCTAATGGCATGCTAACACACATCCACGCAGGAGCCAGCACACACTGCACTCACCTGCACGCAGGCACACCAGCACAGTATGTAAAGACTTGCTGGACCTATGTGCACATGCCCCCAGGGCAGTGTCGAAGATCCACACACAGCACACGTAGGCACAGTGACCCCTCCCCACAGAGGTCACTGTTCAATTCAGCATCACCAACCTTCCCTCGCACTTAGCCCCAGCCCCACACTCACAGCACACAGCCCTTTCCCCAAGCCTTCCACAAGTGCAAGGCAGCACTCCTGTTGCCAGGAAGAGTCGATACAGCTCAGAAGTGTCCGGCTTTCCCCCAGGAGCCCTCTCTGGACTTGGAGCCCCCAGCCTCCCTTACCGATCCAGCAGGTACTTCAGGTACTCTGAGCAGTCCTGCTGGGTGCCGGGGCTGAACCAGGGTGTCCAGGATGCAGAGAGGAAGTTCTCTGGGGAAATGGCAGGCCGCTAGGATGAGGCAGGTAAGACAAGGTCAGGATCAGGAGGCCACTGACCACCCAGCTCTGCAGCATGCTAGGCCTGAGAGTCTACCTGGGTCTCTTCCCCAAACTTCCCGGCCTCCTCACTGAGGTCCTCCCACTTCCTAACTGTCCCTGACCCCAGCCCATCTCACAAGTCCACGCAGCCTGTGAACAGGATGTCACGTTCATGGAGATGAACAATACTCTAGGAACCTGCTCTTCCCTGACACACCTTATACTTTCTCTCCACGCCTTTGCTCCAGAGTGGCCGTCGACCTGCCCCCACCCCACCCCCACCCCCACTCACAACACACTGCATTTCCCTCTGTTAAAGCACAACAGTTGTCATATGCAGGTCCATCTTCCCCACCAGACTGAGCTCCACGAGTCAGGAACTATGGCTCACTCATCTGTGCCCCCACACAGGGACCTGCAGAATCCCTGGCCAAGGGCTTTCAGTTCCATGAGGGCAGAGATGAGATTTGTTTTGTTCACCTCTGTACCTCAACAGCCTGGCTCTCTGAAGGGAGAGATTTGGACAGCACAGAGCAGAGCTCAAGGGGCCACTCCCTCTTCTGCCCTGTTGGCCCCACAAACCTGTGCCAGCCTAGACAGGGGCCCAGTAGCTTACTCCATCAAGGGGGAGCTTATAGCCAGATGCAGGCAGGTCCTGGCGAAGGCAAGGGTGAAAGTGCAGAGGCCTGACTGGCCCCCTCTCCACTCCGCCCCCACAACCCCTGCACTCACCTGGCTGTGCTCCAGGAAGGCAAAGAGCCACTGCAGCTTGGTCATCAAGGGCTGTGAGTTGTTCTCAGTCAGACGAAGCACACAGTGTCTGAAGCTTCAAAACAAAGCAGGAGTACCCATTGTAAGCCAAGGGCACCCAAGAAGCTGTCACACACCCACATGACAAACAACCCACAGCCTCCAGGCCGAAGTCAGAACAGATAATTCTAGCTCAAGTTGACGCCAGGGGCCAGGGAGGAGGAGCAAGTGAACGACTTGGCCCAGAGTGTCTAAGGTCAGGAGCGTAGCAATGGCCTTGGTTTGGATGGTTTGGGTTCCATGAGGGCAGAGATGGGATTTGTTTTGTTCACCTCTGTACCTCAACAGCCTGGCTCTCTGAAGGGCAACACAGGGGGACCCCTGCAGTCCCTTCCAGTTCTGACACCCCGTGACTCCAGGATTCAAAGATTCAAACATCCTAAGGCCCTGCTCAGGGCTCCTGCCCCTAAAGCCACCTGTGTTATTCCCCTGACCTCAAATGAGGGAGGCAGGGGTCAGTGTGAGGAAGATGCTGGAAGAAGAGGACACTGTGGGAGTAAACTGGCTCCTGGTGACAAAGGTCTGATGTTATCAGAGATGGGAAGGAGCCACTCCTGACCCCCACATTCCCTGGAACAAGCCAATTCCCAGGCCTCAACTCAGCACCTGTTCTCACAAGCAGTTCTGGGCAGACCCAGTCATGCATTTCTCCAAGCTAAGCTAAGCCCACTGCACAGAACAGCACTACTCAAAGTGTGGTCCACTGAGCCAGTCTAAAACAAGGTAAGTTCAGAAACTCAGTGAGCACTAGAGTTTTTTGCGTAGAATTTTAACATTATTACAACCATGCAAACACATGATTATTTTTCTGGTAATCATTTTGTTGTATTTTACTGGCCCAAAACAAAAAATTAGAAAAAATAGTCCTTCACCAGACAGTTTGAGAAGAACAAGTAGCAGCACCTTAGAAGATTTAGAGATCAGCTCCAGCCTCCTCCTCCTGAACCTGAAGCTCAGGGAAAAGAAACTGACTTGAAGTCATCCTATGAGCCAGAAGCAAAGCTTACTTTCACTGAATCAAAGCTGAAATGCTGAACGATTTTAAAGCAAGCCGTAGGTGGACAGGTAGCCACAGACAATAAAGATGGTATGTGTTTCATTAGAGAGAGAGACGTCCAATACAAGGGTGAGTGGCAGTTCTGTTCTCGAAAACACAATCCACCCCCATGGACTCTAGGAGAAAAGCCAGTAATGTCGACCAACCCAGAGCAAACCCACTCCCCTGCAGCCCAGCCCCTGAAGCCCCACCTTGAGTTACCACCCAGTCCTCACCTTTTGCCTTGGCAACAGCCTGAGGCCCTCTGGGGCCTCTCACCTGCCCTCATGTATCACAGACCTCAGGGAATCATGCCAGCAACACAAAGCAAGGCCCACTCTCTCCAACCCCCACCCCTTCTACCTCTCACCAAAGAGACCAAAGGAGAGAAGCAAGACAGACAGGGAATTCAAATGCAGCACCTACTCAGAAGCCATGAACAAGGCCTGAAGGATGCTGTTCACGTAGCACGTGTTGCCCAGATTGATTAAGCCAATCTTTCCCGTGTCGGACTTGGCCATGAGCCGGGGGTAGAAGCCAGCCAGCTCACTCTTCTGGGAGGTCCACGCATCCTGCCCCAGTAGCTGCTTGATGCGGTCCTCATTGGGAACATGGAGGTCCTGAGAAGGGAACATGCAGGCAGGATGGCGGGCACCAGGGTCAGCTCGGAAGATATCACCTCCTCTGGGAAGCCTTTTTGGACTACAGCCAACCCCACAGCCTCCCTGACACACTGCCCTACAAATCTTCTAGAGATGTGTGTCAACAGCTCCCTGCTTACAAACTCATCCCAGGTTCTCATCTTAACATGTGGGCTTTCTATATGTTATTATGGGTCATGACTGCCTTAAGGTGGTATAATTCCCATTTTATAGATAAAAACACTAAGATTCAGAGGGAGAAAAGAACTGTCCAGGGGCATACAGGCAATAAGTGAAGAATCTGGATGTTCTTAGAAGAGCCCAGGGTATAATAGATGCTAAGCAATGACAGCCCTTGCCCACATCCAGGGGTGTCAAGATCTCAATTCTAGCCCTGACTCTTGTCCTCACTAGATGCTTGGCTGTGTTCAGGGAGCCTGTGCCTCAGTCAGTTAACCTTCCTAGGCCTCAGTTTCCTCGTCTATCAAGTGAGGATACTCCTACCTTATATCAGTTTGGCATTCTATACTTTCAAGGCGCTTGTACACAATGACGTTTCCATTTTCACCTTCTACTTTTAGATCTGCAGAATCAGTTTTCAAGAGAATTAGTCACCCCCCCTGGAAATGGATCCTACAGACAGGATGGTGGGAGGACCCCGGGGTGTGAGGTATGGGTCCATGGTCACGGGCTCAGGGATTAGCATGCTTTCCCACTCATTATCCTTTGTCACATTAAACAGCTGTCCCTAAAAGAATATTACCAGGCACAAGTTCTAACAACAATATATTTTAAAGAAAAATACCTAAGCACAACATAATTTTATTTAAAAGATTTAAGCGACATTCACAACAGTTCCTATTCTTATTTCCAGATCCTGAGCACAATGCCCTAGATCTGTCCAAAGCTCCACAGAGCTTCAAACCAGCTTAGCACCCAAAGCCCTTCTCTCCCCAGTGCACGTCCTTTGGCTACCAAGGAAGGTCATGCTCAGCAGTGGTTTAATATTTTGCTTGTGCATTTACCAGGATCACTGTCAGATCATTTATCAGGTTGGTCAGTCATATCTCACAGATAAGGGGGGAAAAGTAAAACAAACCCAAGGAGATGCCAGAGGACAGATAAGAAGATACAGGCACAGTATCTTCTCTCCTAGTCCCCCGCTTTTTTTTTTCTTATTACACCCTATCCAATCCCCCCGACCTCCCGCCACCTCACACAACATGAACAAAGACAAAAAGACAGAAATAGGCACAACCCTACACACACATGCACGTGCACAAAGATGCAAAAATATCCACACCAGGAAAAAAAAAATCAAATGCCACTTTTCTCCAAAGAAGGTAACTTCATATTCTTAGGAAAATAAAACAAAAACTTCCAAATTCCAAACTCTCAAGCTCCTAATGTTATTGGAAATTTACATACAGTGGCTACCTTGGAAAGGACCACAGCTCCCAGAGAAACTGCCATAACCTGATATATCTAAGAGAACTTTCCAGAATTTATGTACAAAGGAAGATGTATACAAACAAGGATGTACTTATAGAACACGTGTGAAAAAATTTTATAAGCAATAAAGTCCTATAATTTGCTGTCTTGCCTCTCAAACTGGCTTGTGCCAAGAGGTATTCAAAGCCACATTATAAAAGTAGCACATTCTGGAGTTATACTCTCCAATATTCAATGAAGAAAAATATGCTTATATTAAAACAAGTGTTTATAATTTTGAAGCATATACTTGAGTCTTTGAGATAAAAATGAATTTGTGGAGAAACTTTGAGCCACGTGAGGGTACTTTGGGTAAGTCCCCACCTCTGATACCACGTACTTCACTGGAAACATTTGAGAAGCCCAGATCTACTGGATTAAGCAGAGTGGCTCAGCCTGGTTCAAGGCACTGTGCTGAGATTCTTCTGATCTCCCCTGCACTCCACTGACAACACTACCAGCCAACTGGACTTGCACATCCCCACCTCCATGCCCTTCCCAGACTCATCTGGAGTGTCCTTCTCTTGCCAGTCTCTATCCATCAAGGTCTAACTCCTATATCCCCTACGATGCTTTCCAGGATCTTCTCAAGTGGGGTCCCTATGCTATCCATACCTGTCTTATAAAGCCTAACTCTCCACATCTACTGGTACATTTGCAAGGACTGGTGTATTTGCGGACTTATCTTGTCCCCTGGGTCAGACTGTCAGCCCTGAGTATGCAAGGCCTGGGTCTCACTCATCTTGGACTTCTCTTGTGCCCAGTACCAGGCCATGCTCTCTCCTCTTTGTCCACTCCCATATTACAGTGTTCTTCACTAAGGTCATGTTGTGATCACATTCTATTCATTCACTCACAGACATTCACTGGGCACAGAAGACAAAGATCAAAATGACATGGTCCCTGCTCACCAGCAGCTCACAATCGAGCAGGAAACAGAACAGTCCCAGAAGCTCAGAGCTCTTGATCTACCCTCCTTCTGATGCCAAAAACCTTGGGTAACATCCCCAACAAGTAGAAGTCCTGTCTCCTCCACTCACCCACCCCAGTGACAGGGAGCACATGACCTGTCAGGGCAGCCCCTTCTGCTGTAAATTAACTCTATAAAAAACTCTTTCTCATGTGAAGTTTGAAAAACTGAAAAGATCCAAGTAAATGCCAGAGGTTTTGTTCGTTTTATCTACTCTCACTCATGATGGATTGTCCCTTTGTGGTTTTTTGTCATTTTTGGATTATAAATTCATCTTCAGAACTTTCTTTATGGCTTGCTATGTTTCTACCCTATGTTCAACCAGGTATTGCAAGTTTATAAACACTTTTAATATTAGTATCTAAGCTTGGGGGTCCCACAACCCCAAAGATTATCTAAATTTGAACCCCTAAACCCACATGAGAACAGGCTACTGATAAGTTTCCAAATCCAGAGCCCAGATCAAGCCAGAAAAGTTTCCTTGATGCCTATTTGGGACTATGTATATATTTTTTCTATATCATTCTTTTGCTAGTAGTAAAGCCTTTCTTGGGTCCTGGCTTTCAGTGGGCTTTTAAGTGCCAGTTCCCTGCTGGGCACAGGCCTGAAGCCTCACCTCCCATCCCCATCCACTAAAGCCCCTTGGTGACCAAAGGTGGCCATCTCACCCCTCCTCCATCCCCATGTCAGGGCAAAAGAGCATCAGTTCTCACTCACCATCTTGGAATTCAGTTCTCTCTTCCTTTCTGGCCCCTGGGGATTTCCCTCTTACTTTCCTGCAAGCTCAGCTATGTACTTAAAAAGATGTTTGTTATATTTTAATGAGCATTTCTAGATGTTTTGTAGTGAGATACTTTTCGGGTTATCTATGCTGCAGAAGTGGAAGTCAGACTGGAGGTTCTGGAAGGGCTGCCTACTGAGACATCTTTACCCACACTCAGACCTACCTTTTGTATCAAGCAACGGGGAAGGGCTGAGCCATCTGGGGCCCTGGCTAGGTCTCTCACTACAAGTCAACACACTCCTCCAAGTCTCACTTCCTCATCTATGACACTGAAATAACAAAGTCTTCTTCATAGGTTTCTTGTGAGCACCAGAAGAAAAAATAATACAGGAAAACACTGTCAAATGTAGCACTATCTACACGTTAGTTATTGTTGGATCCTAGCAACCTATCAAGCCTGGTGTAGAAACCCTTTCTTCTGTGTAGCATCTTTTCCTAACTGGAAAAGATCTTTCCCTCCTCTGGTTCCTCACTGCTCTTTGGCCAACCCTCAAAGACATTTTCATAAGCTACTTAGGTCAGGGCTTCTTGTCACTCCCACATTGAGGAGCTGCAAGCTGCAAGCTCCCCAATGGAGGAGACTTTGGTTTGCCTCATTTGGGTCCCTAGTTCCCAGCCTGACCTTGGAACAAAGTCAGGCATCAGTAAAGACATGTGAACAGGTATAAACAATCCCTGCTCTGGAGTACTCATAGTCTGATGGGGGAGATAGAAACACAGACAGACAGTGACAACCTGTGACAGAGGGATGCACCAGGGCTTGGGGAGCTCAGAGAGGCCCTGAACCAGCCTGTCGGAGGCTTGGGGTGTAGGTATTGTGAGTTATCAGGGAAGGCTTCCTGAGGGAGGTAACACTTGAGCAGAGCCTCAAAGGATAAGGAGAAGCTATCTAGACAGAACAAGGGACGGGCTACAGTTAGAGAGAACAGCATGAGCAAAGGCTCAGAGCAATATGAGAGGATGACCCACCCGTCTAGGGAGCAGTGGGTGGCTCACTGTACCTGAAGCACATGGTGGACTTGGGGAGGTGACAGGAGACAGCCAGGGACCAAATGATAGATGGCTGCCACCAACCCACAGCACGGCCTTGAGGAAGGCCCACACTGGCACCTGTGTCAGAACATGGCAAGGGACAAGTAAGGGACTGTCACTCACCTTGATGGCCTCCATGACAGGCTCATACAGGTCTGGGAAGCCTGGGAAGCGGAACACCATGCAGTGGACCAGCTCTGCCAGCTGCTCCAGGCAGCTGGTCCCCGAGTTCGAGTCCTCCTTGACCAGAGAGGCCACCATGGGGGGGATGTGAGGAAGGAGCTGTGAGAGCAGAACGGGGTCAGGCTCAGCTCCAGCTCAGCCCTGGAAGCACCCAGCGCTCTTTGCCGTGGGGAGGTGTACCCGCCTGACCTTCATCCCCCGGCCCCAGATGGGGCTCTAGTTCTGCAGGCAAGTGATTCCTCTACAAGACCCATGACCTAAGATACCCTGCCTCGGTTTCTGCACCTGTAAAACAGGATCAATAATACCCTCTCACAGGTGAGGGGACGCCTGAGCCCAAGCCCCAGCAGTTTAACCTCAGCCAACTGACGTGCCCCAAGAGCCTGAAGGCCAGAGTGACCAAGGAGTTGCTGCCCAGCCAGGAGTGATGCTGGGGCTGCGACACAGTCTGAAGCATGGGCCCCAACAGAGCATGGGTGGCAGCCTCTGGGGCAAACACCATATTCCTCTCACAAATGTTTACATATCAAGCACCTCATCTTCACCAGGACTTTATGTGGCAGCATCATCATCCCCATTTTATAGACAAAGAAATTGAAGTTAGGGAGGTATATAGTTTGCCAAGGATTTCACTGTGGCTTATGGGAGAAGCTGGTGTCTGAACCAGGTCTGAATACATAGCCTGTTTCTTTTCTCTGTGCTATAGAGTTTTAATGTTCAAAGCCAGTAGGGTGGTTTACCATAATGTTATAATGGACAGAGTCAGGCCACAGGAACTGGGAGCAGGGGAGCGCAGGAGAAGGATGCAAGGAAACAAATATCTGTCAACCCCCAGTATAAGTACAGCAGGCTCTTGACAAATATCACTTCGTTTAATCCCTTCCCACCGTCCTAGGAGTTTATACCTGTTCTAGGCTCTGAGAGGTTAAATGCCGGCCCAAAGTCACATCTGGCAAATGGCAGAGCTGAGATTCAACCCCAGGTACCCCCAGTCCCTGGTTCCCTGCATTTCCCACTACAACAAATTGGGAAGCATGGAGTTTCACTGCCAGGTCCCAGGGAAAGGCAGGCTCAGGCTGTCCTTCCCAAAGGAGGGCCTTAGGACAGCAGAAGGGGCACCAAGCTGGAGGCTGGGCCACCTGTGTGCTGGTGGCCAGCAGATGTAGGAAGGACACTGGGTGGGGAATCAGACCAACTTGGCTTGAATACCCCTGTACCACTCACCAGCTATGTGTCTGGGACAAACGACTTAACCTCCCTAAACTGCAATTTCTTCTGGAGAAATGGAGAATATGATAGAACCTCCCTCCCAAGGCTGTTCCAGGAACGATCTCATTTCATCCAATTTAATCCTCACAACAACCCTTTAGGATGGGATCAATTATACTGCATTTAGTTGAGGAAATGGAAGCATAGACAGGTTGAGTAACTTGTCCAAAGTCACACAGGCAAGAGGTGGTAGAGGCAGGATTTGACCTCAGGCAACTTACCTCTAAAGCCCACACTCTTACCCGCTAAAGACAAGGAATCCCAGCAGGCCTTTTGAGATGGTGGATCTGCACATGGGTATGGAAAGAGTGGCAGAGGGAGGCATGCCAGGTGGATGGGGCCTGCACAGGCAAAAGCCTGCAGGCAGGAGGGCAGGCGATATATTCTAGGATCACCGGACAGGCAGGTGCAGCTAGATCACAGGTATGATGACATTCAAATGAGGTGGAGGATGTGCAAGGGTTCTGTGAGCTGAAAAGCACCCAAGTTCTGTTCCTTGTATTCGTGAAACTCAGAAAGCACATCGTAAAGTGCTTTTGCCTTCTCATACCACCCCGTGAGAGCCTGAAACTTCTTATACCACCACCCACTCTGCTTTTGCGAAGGGGAAAACTGAGGCCGAAGGGTCACTGGCATGTCCAGGGTCACACAGCTGGTACCTAACCTGACAGTATCACTACAGCAGGGTTCTCTATGTCCCCCATCCAGCCAGGGCTTGGCTGGATCCAGCACAGAACACGGCTCAAGAAAGGATGGATGACTGAGCAAGCCTGAGGGCCTGGGCTCTCTGACACTCAGTCTAGCCCAGCACCCCCACCCGGCCCTCAGCACCTCACCTGCTGATGGCAGTCAGCATCTGGGAATCTGTCACACTGTCATCATTGCTGAGGTTCCGGACAACACCATCCATGAGCTCCAATGGGAGGTGCTGGACCACACTGGCCAGGGCGCTGGACGGCGGCTCCTCCTCTGGAATAGGAGGCTGGGCTGAGCTTGGTAGGGCAAGCAGGCCCCTCCCCTCCTCCACCACCCGATGCTGTCAAGGAACTAGGCTGTGCAAAGAGCACATGCGGATGGCCACCTCTCTTCCTACAGCCTCAGCCTCTGATTCCATGTTAATTTATTCACTCAACAAACCTTCACCGGTACTGCTTTGGGCCCAGTCCTGTGCTGGGCAGAGATGAAGTGCTAACCCCCAACTGTGGGTGTATGGGCAAGACCTCTAGAAGGGGTAACACTGGAGCTAACCAGAAAAGGTAACAGTGCTGTGTGGACTCGGGGGGAAGAAGACACTCCAGGTGGAACTACACAGAGGCCCAGAGGTGAGACAGCGCATTTAGTTATCAAAATTTGTTGTCCCAGGTATAAGGGCCGAGTTTAACACTGCAGGCTCCATGAGGTCGCCAGACCTTCACCTCTGCCTGCCCAGGAAACCTTACCCTGCTGCCAAGTGCTACCTGTCTCAAAACTCAGGACTTGCATCAAGCCAAAGGCCATAATGAGTCCCCATCCTGTTGGCTTGCTAGGCCCTCTCCGGCCAGATGGATGCGTGTCCTCCTCACCACATCAGGCAGCGTGCTCCTTCCTGCACCCACCACAAGACAGGACGCACAGGAGGTGCTCAGCATAGCCTCACGAACTAAACTAAAGGGCACGACAGTCACCCACCCGGGCATCCGCCCGTTGCGCACACATGCCGCACGGCCGGGCGGGCACTGACACACAGAGACCCCACACATCCACCGCCAGCCCAGGCACCGCGCCGGGCCCGCCCCGCTGCACACGCACCTGTGCAGGAGATGACGGCGAACAGCTCCTTGAGGCAGGGCAGGATGGCAGCGGGCTGCGCTCGCCACAGCTGCGCCAGGAGCCCGCTCACCTGCTGGGCCTGCTCCAGGAACTCCACCGCGCCCTCCTCGCCCTCGGCCGGGCAGCGGAAGCGGCCGAGGCAGCGCACCAACTGCTGGCAGAAGAGCAGGCGGTGCGGGCCTTCGGGCACGC